CTACACAGATACTGTACATGGGTAGGGTGAGGTCTAGGGATCGAACCCTGGGTACTGCATCCGCTACTGCTAAAAGGTGAAAACCGTTTCAAACCTAGCTCTAATAGCAATACACACAGATCTTACAGCCTTATAGCTGAGAGGAAGAACTAGGGAAAGCTCAGATAGTACGACAGACAGATACCACATTACAGAGTTCACAACTCCGAGAGGCCTTACAAGCCCAGGATTATGTCAAATAGGCTAACTTAGGCAGGGGTGAATGATGGTACATCCTTCCCATGGGAAGTAATCAATGCCGTCTTTCGGGCCGTGTGTGAGTACCTTTTGTAATCATTTCTGACTTTCTGGTGGAATAGGAACCGGACTGATGCTCCCCAGAATGGAAAAGGAGCCAGAACCGTAAGGTTCTGTTCTTAAAAAAAATAAAAATGACAGGTTACTATGGGTAATCTGAGAGGAAAGGACATAGAAAACAGGACAGACAATACCAGTCTTTCTAGAAAGTCATGTAGGACATGGCAGGCTCTTATGGAAAGGTCCGAGAGAAAAGAATGTGCAGGGTTTGTGAGTTCAACTGCGGGATGATGTAGAATAGGCTAACTTAGGCAGGGGGGAGGGGGGGTATATCCTTCCGTACGGAAGTAATCAATGCCGCCCACTCGGACCTTCCACCCATCATGGGGGGGAGCGTGTGTGAGTACTTTTTGTAACCAATTACGACTTGCCTGGGGAATAGGAACCGGACTGTTGCTCCCCAGAATGGCAGGAGCCAGAACCGATGGGCTCTGTTTTTATTCAAAAAAAAAAAAAAAAAAAAAAAAAAAAAAGATGAGCCTCAGAATTGGACTTCCGTTAGCTAGGGGTCATACTATACAATGTCCACATACATTCCTAAAAAAAAAAGCACTTGCTAAGTATGCATATATGGTTTTAAATAAAACTTTAAACTTTAAATGATTTAATATTTTATTATTATTTGCGTTTAAAATGTGCTGATTATTTCTCTCCAGAAGGTATATCACCCATAGCCATGGCTTTCACAGCGCTAGCTTCGTCTGCGCCAAGCTGGATTCACACCAGCGTGTAGACAATTATGAAAAGAATAGGGTCTCCGCTGGCCCTGCAGGGGTTTCTTCTCATGCCCCTCCTCCCGAGGTGACAAGAGGAGGGTGAGGAGGGGTCTCCATTGCCGTTGTCGAGCCCGATGTACCATTTCAATACAGACAAGGAGAGCATTAGCAATCACTGAAGGAATTAGAACAGGGCAACAAAAAGATGGAGGGTTTGGAGGAGGGCCAGGACTGGCAGCAGCAGCAGAAGCTGACGATGAAGAAAAAGAAACAGAAGACGACGACGCTGAACAAGAAGAAGACCACGAAGAAGACGAAGAAGAATTGAATCCTATGTCCATCAGCCGATTCCAAGCATCGAATCCTAGTCCATGAACCGATTCCAAGAATCGAACACGTCACCTCCCAAATAGGAGTAGGACGCTCAACCAAACAGCTAAGCTGACTGGGGTGAAACTTAAGAACAACGATGATGAGTACTTAACCCCACCTCAGCACGGATTTCTCCGCGTTCCGGTGTACCCAGTCACAATCTCACACTCACACCCGACCCCACACATGCCGTGGACGCAGCCACCAAGCGATGTACAACCTCGGTAAAGACAAAGGCGGAGACGAAGACGAAGACGAAGACGAAGACAAAGGCGAAAAAGAAGATGAGAAGAAGAAAAAGAAAAAGAAGAAGAAGACGATGACGACGACGACGAAGAAGAAGAAGACAAAGAAGATTACGAGAAGATGGCGAAGATGAAGACAAAAGAAGAAGAAGACTACGACGACGACGACGACGACGACGAAGAAGAAGAAGAAGAAGAAGAAGAAGAAGAAGAAGAAAAGGCGAAGAAAAGAGGAAGAAGCTTAGACTCTGAGTCCTGGGTGCGAAACGATCATCAGTGCTGTGTGCAATAAGCAGAATAATATATATGCCAGCGGTGAGCACACATCAATAACTCGGTATCTGTTAGCTCTTGTCAAGGTATATATTTCCTGCATCATGGATATATATACTGGATATATCCCCTCCTCCTTCCTGTCAGCCATTCCACCAACCACCAGATTGCCTTGCCTTTTTCACTTGCCGATCAATCTTTGAGCTCCTCAAGCTCAACTTCTAATCATCACCCTCTGCCTGAGGGGTAACTCTACACATACCCCTCTCTCCTTGAGACTTGGCCCACAAACCAAAGCGGGCTTAACTCCCCCCTCTTCCCAATCTTTTACCGATGGGCTTAATTTCACCCAGAACTGAAAAAAAAAAGAAGGAACAAACAAAAAAAGAACTGAAGAACCTTTAGAAGTTTAAATAAGATGCCCGTGTCCTTCCCTTTTTCCGCTACTAATGACAACAAATCCCTCCGCACATGATTGATTGATTGATTGATTGATTGATTGGGTAATTGATTAATGGACGGATTGATTAATTAACCGATTGATCTATTGGTTTCTGGATTAGAAAAAAGCAGCATCCCTTTTGTCGGCGTTGTAACGTTATTGATCCTTAAAAAGACGGGACCGATGGGAACTCCTCCACTCACCAGGAGACTCATAAATGTCGTCGCAGTATCAATCCACGTTCTCATCCAAGTACAAGTATAATCACTTCCTCGTGTTTACCAAATTCCCCCTCCCTTTCTCCGCCTGTCGATCTCCATTTCCCAGAGATACCTCTGGTCCCACTTTGGGACAGAGTACTAAACGAACTATCGGTCCTCCTTCTCCTTCCTCCTTTCTCCACCGGGTTCGGATGCTCTCAGCACAGCCGAAAAGTGTCGCACTTGACTCACCGCACCCGCTCCTCCGCCCAAAAACCACACTGTGAGAAGGTTGATGTACGAGCACAGCGAACTCTCCTCCTACCAGCATGCATACGGCCGGGACGGAGCAATTAGCAGAAATCACAAAGCAACGGCCACACCAGCACAAGAATCGGCAACGTTGAACTCTCTTGGCGATGAAAAGCCGTCCATCTTCTCCTCACCTTCAAACAATCAAATACAACAACAGTAACAGTTCTCTGCTCTCGCCGGTCTCCCTACCAGCTCAGGTGACCACCTACCCTCTCTCCACTATACTCCACAGGATGTACAGTGTCGCAGAGTAGCATACCACACTGCTCCCAACAGATACAGGTATGGAGAATGTCCCACGCTGGAACTGTTCTTGGCGACCACCAGCTCTCTCTCTCTCTCTCTCTCTCTCTCTCTCTCTCTCTCTCTCTCTCTCTCTCTCTCTCTCTCTGTGTGTGTGTGTGTGTGTGTGTGTGTGGCACTCAGCTATGGCTGGCGCTGGCCTTCTCTCGGCCAGCTACGCCTGCTGCCTCCACTCTGTCCCGCAGCCTCCACTCCGTGCCGTAGAATGTATGGCCGCCGTGCCGGTCTTCCATATATGTGGAGGCTGGGATCTGGGTTGGGCTGGTAGTCCCTGGCTTCCAGAAGCTTCCGGAAACCGTCACAGCCTAATGAAATCCCAAGTACCTGGCCCAGACCGGTCCCTGCCATCTTCAAATAGCACGAGACATGAGGAAAAGCGTAGAATCTGTTGGATTAAAAAAAATAATAATAACGGATACGCCATGCATGTTTAAATTTAAAACATTGACCAATGAAAATGCATAAATATTAAATAATAAATATAAATATTAAATTCCGAAAAACATTTCGGCGGCCACTTATGGAACTGGTTCACAGAAACAGCACATCGCAGAAACCGTCACAGCCTAATGAAATCCCAAGTACCTGGCCCAGACCGGTCCCTGCCATCTTCAAATAGCACGAGACATGAGGAAAAGCGTAGAATCTGTTGGATTAAAAAAAAAAAAAAAATACGGATACGCCATGCATGTTTAAATTTAAAACATTGACCAATGAAAATGCATAAATATTAAATAATAAAATATAAATATTAAATTCCGAAAAACATTTCGGCGGCCACTTATGGAACTGGTTCACAGTACCAGCACATCGCAAGACCCATCTTCCGAAATTCCTTGGAATTCGAGGCCAGGTGTCAAAAATATGTCTTCCCCTCTCAGCCACGGCCACCACATTAAAAAAAAAAAAAAAAAAAAAAAAAAAAAAAGTGTATAAAATGCCCCCTTAAATTCTCAACCTGGGAGCCCTGGAATTTGGCTAATTGGTAGTCAACTGAAATTATTAAATTAGGCATCGGTGATCGACTCGTTAGCAATTACGAGTCAAATGAATACTAATTAGGAGACCACTACTGAGGAACTGAGAAATTGTCCAAATCAGGCAACTGCGAATGCAAAAAAAAAAAAAAAAGGAAAAAAAAAGCAGATAGTATGCTGATGTGGGGAAGTTAGCATCTCCTCCTCCTCCTCCTCCTCCTCCTCCTCCTCGTCCTCCTCCTCCTCCCACCTCTTTGTCCACTATCTTCCCCTCCTCCTCCTTTCTTACCTCGTCTTCGTCTTCCTCTTTTTCCTCCTCCTCCTCGTTTTTTACCTCCTCTTCCTCTTCCTCCTTTTCACCCTCCTCCTCTTCCTCCTCCTCCTTTTGTACCTCCTCTTCCTCTTCCTCCTTTTCACCCTCCTCCTCTTCCTCCTCCTCCTTTTGTACCTCCTCTTCCACATCCTCCTTTTCCTCCTCCACCTCGTTTTTTTCAACCTCCTCCTTCCTCCCCCTCCTTCCTCCCCCCCCTCCTCCCACCTCCTGCTCCCCCTCCTCCTCCCAGTCCTCCCCCTCCTCCTGTCCTACCTCCTCCTCCTCCTCCTCCTCCTCCTCCTCCACCAATAAGGAATGAGAGCTAAAGACGAATTATCGGTGCCTTGGAAGAAAGTCGAACCCAAAAAAAAAAACAAAAAAACCAGGAGTTGGACTGTTGGAGTACTGCATTTGCCAGTGCTTGTGATTCCCGACAAAATGGGGGGAAAACTAACAGGAAAAAAAAAACAAAACAAATGGTAGTTGGAAAAAAAGAAAAAAACGGACAGAAACTGGCAAGGTAAGACAGACAGGAGGTAAAAGAACCACACACGGTGTTTTCTGAGGTCTGCTTTGATGGGGGCCGGTTAAAACAAAAAAAAAAAGAAAGAAAAGAAAAGAAAAAAAAAAAGGAGGTCTGGTTTGATGAGGAGGACCAATTGCATAATCGCACGCTTTCATTTTGTTAAAATCGAGACTCTGCTTCGAGACTGAGAGCATAGTCAATCTGGAGGGACTTTTCAAATGGCGTATCTAACAGTAATTAAGGNCTTTCATTTTGTTAAAATCGAGACTCTGCTTCGAGACTGAGAGCATAGTCAATCTGGAGGGACTTTTCAAATGGCGTATCTAACAGTAATTAAGGCCAGATTCAGCCAACAAAGTCTTAGTGTGAGTACGCCCTGCCTGACCTAGAAATCAACATCATCTAAGACTGCTTTCAGACTGAGGGCATCCTCAAACTGGAGGGACTTTACTGAATGTATCTAAGCATAATTACGGCCAGATCCGTCCATAATCGCACGCTTTCATTTTGTTAAAATCGAGACTCTGCTTCGAGACTGAGAATCTGGAGGGACTTTTCAAATGGCGTATCTAACAGTAATTAAGGCCAGATTCAGCCAACAAAGTCTTAGTGTGAGTACGCCCTGCCTGACCTAGGAATCAACATCATCTAAGACTGCTTTCAGACTGAGGGCATCCTCAAACTGGAGGGACTTTACTGAATGTATCTAAGCATAATTACNCCTGACCTAGGAATCAACATCATCTAAGACTGCTTTCAGACTGAGGGCATCCTCAAACTGGAGGGACTTTACTGAATGTATCTAAGCATAATTACAGCCAGATCCGTCCAAAAAAAGTCCTAGAACGAACGTACACCTCCTTAGTAGAACTAATTTTGGAATCCAGAAACCATGTGTGGATGCAATAGTGATATGATATCAAAAAAAAAAAAAGAGATAGAGATCATATATAGGTGATGATATCATGATAGCCAAGTGATTAGAAAAAAAAGAAGAAAAAAAAAATAGTGAAGAATTGTTTTGCACTAAGATGTTTTTTTAATCATTTTTAAGGATTTCATTAAATCCTTCTCCAGCCTACAGCAAATTACGGCATTTTGAAACGTCGATGCAGCTCTCTTCGCCTTCCTGCCGCGTAGCCACTATGCCTCACGTCATGACGATGACGCCGCATGTCATGATGACCATAATGCCTCAAGCTCGGATGATGAAGCCGTCATCAAGCCGAGCCATGTACTGAGCCTGTCTGCATGTCAGGATGTCAGAGGAACAAGGCGCCAACAGAAAAAAGAAAAAAAGACAAAACAAGAAAAGAGTCGATCAATAAGCTGGAAGACGAGATTAGAGGCACACACACACACACACACACACACACACACACACACACACACACACACACACCAAAAAAGAAAAAAGAAAAAAAGGTAAGCAAAAAAAAGCAAAAACTTCAGAAAGTTTCAGAATTACAGGAAAAAGGAAAAAGAAAAGAGGAGCAAAAAACAAAAGAAAAAAAAAAAAGACCTTCCGAAAAAAAAAAACAAGGAACGACAAGTGAAACAAAGGGCCTGGCTCCACTACTGAACGCTCCACACGTACCTGGACAGCATCTCGTTCCCGGTACATTCGGGGGTTTTGAATGTTTCTGGACCGTTATCAGCTCCAGCTACATTTGAATGTTGTGCGATGGAGCGAGGCCCAAAGCTCAGATGAGCAGATGACACAGTTAAAAAACCTATACATCTGGAAGTCACGATGCTTCAATAACCAAAAAAAAAAAAAAAAAAAAAAACAGAAAAAAAAAGAAGAAAAGAAAGAAGGGGATGTCAGCGGCATTGAGTTTTCCCCTTGAAAACACAAAATGCAAAATAATTTATAAAACGATAAATGTTGTAGTTTATTAATACGATACAAATTTAAGTTATTTAACACAGGCCGACGGGGACTTTCGCCGGATTTGGCTTGACGACGGAATCGCTGGAAATCGGGTTCAGCATCCCATACGAGATCTCCGTTCAACGGTTCAACCAACCAGCCGGGCTCTAGCTCAGTCTGTAGTACACCCCAGAACTGTTGAAATACAGGCCCGAGATCCAACTCCACTGGGGAAGCAGATGAGCAAAATAGTAAAATAGTTAAAAATATGACATTTCTGAAATAACTAGGTTTAGGGTCGCTTCAAACGATGATATCTCAAGGCCGTCGCCCTTTATAAGGGAAAAAAAAAGATCTCGTTCAGACATAAGTTCTTCGGGGGAAAAAAAAAATATTAAAAAAAATCAGAAGGAATTTCCCTTCTAAGGAAAGGTGGGAGAATTGTCCACCGCACATTACCCCCGTAGGAAGGAAGAGCCAGACTGAAGCAAACAGCCAAAGCAGTGACAGCAGCGCTACCACAGTAATCACACGCGTTTATCAGATCGGCGAGAAAGCTCACGACTCGAGCAACACACACAGAGTAGTGCAAATGTCATCTGATTACCAATCCCCCCCCAATGCACACACACACACACACACACACACACACACACACACACACACACACACACACACACACATAAATAAAAAAATAAAAATAAAAAAAAGAACAACGTTGACGTGACGACACCGTGACCAGAGACAACAGTTCCAGTGCATTCAAAATTGAGCGGCGCAGATCCTTGCTTATTTCATCCCCCTCCAGTTACCTATCTCAATAACCCCCGGTTACCCCCGGTTACCCCCGGTTATCCCCGGTTACCCCCAGTTACCAGTCTTTTACTAATCTCCGTTTTACCTGCCTGCCTCAATAACCTCCGGTTACCTCCAGTTACCAGTCTGAATAATCTCCAGGCAAATTTCAGTAACGTCCAGTTACCAGTCCGAATAACCTCCAGTCAAATCTCAATAACCTCCAGTTACCAGTCTCAATAACCTACAGAGACAGGTGTAGAGACAAAGACACACACACAGACATAGAATGTACAGAGACGAAGGCATGCACAGGAGAGTAAACACACAGGCAAAGAAAGACGAATACACCGAACACAAGCACAGACAAATGAGAGAACGCCCCCCAAAAAAGGTTACGGAAAGTTGAATTTCAAATTTTCAAACCCTTAGTAATGTATTTTAAGTAATTTAATTAATTTAATAAAATAACCTAGGCTACCAGAGTGGCCCCGGACCACCTGCCCGGTCGGGCCAAAAAAAATAAAAAAAAAAAAAATGCACGGCCAGACCGCACGGGAAAACAAGGTCACCCGGGCAGCCCGGCTGGTAGCCTAGAAAATAACACAAAAAATGAATGAATGGAAGTGAAGTGGGTAACAAAACAGTGAAGATTCTGAAGAATGTTACAAAACACATATAAACTTCACAACGGATGGAACCGTTGGAACGACATTGACGACAGACAGGAATAAAAAGAGGCCAAACTCACAAACACCGACACAAACACAAACACAAACCCTAAACCCTGAACCCTAAACCATAAACACAAACACAAATGCAAACACTAACACAAACTCCAACACAAACACAAACACAAACACAAACACAAGCACAAACCCAACCCTTAAAGCACCAGTACATGGGTGTTATGAACCTGGTTGCTTGTTGTCTAAAGACCATACTCACTCACATAGACTTCCATGCATGCCCATACATACACAGAAGGAAGGGGAGAGGATAGGAGTACCACACCGCACAGAGAGAAAGAAACACAGCGGAAGACTTGACCATGCGATATGACAAAACACACTGAAAGTGCAATTCGCTCCACAGAATCCCCACAACCAGTCCCGAAGGAAAGTCGAGTAGATCACATCCAGAAAACAATGAAGCAAAGATAGTTCTCACACAGTATCCACACTGTTTATTAAACTCAGAGAATCGTTTTGCCAGAATAGCCTCAGAAACATGGTACGCTGCTCAGGAATGAGCAGCGCTTCTCTCCCAACCCAGAGTAACCGCCATCTACTACCCCGGAACCCCTGAAAGAGGCCCCTGAGGCCCTAGAGGCCGAAACTGAAACGGTACCGGTCAGTTCAGTAGGTCTGGTCTAGGTCGAGTCTAGGCTATAGAGTAGATCTATTAATAGATTGAGGAAGGCTGTTCAGGGCTTTTGGTGGTTGGCATTTTGCAGATCGCGACGGCACAACGCGTGAGCTGGAGTGGTGACAACTTCAGCGTTGAAGAAGACCGACATAGCTAGACCCTCGAAGCGACGGCCATCGCTGGGTCCTTCGCGGTTCTTTGGCAGCACGTGGGGCTGCTCAGAGGTCTGGGCTTTCTGAGGTCTGTTGGGAGGTCGAGAAGTTGGTGCCCTGCGGAACCCTCCTCGGGAGTAGGGTTCACGGTGGTGGCGCTGCAGCCATAGCTGCATCTTCCATCCTCAGAGATCTCCTTTGTCAGGAAAGGTGGCGCTGCCACAGATCTTCATCAGTGAAGTCATCCAGCACTTCATCTGCATCAGAGACTGTGGCGCTGGTCTTCTTCTTCATTCCCTGAGAGGCGCTTGGCCTCAGTAACCTGTTTCAGGGGTTCTGAGGTAGTAGATAGCGGTTACTCTGGGTTGGGAGAGAAGCTCTGCTCATTCCTGAGCAGCGAACCATGTTTCTGAGGCTATTCTGGCAAAACGATTCTCTGAGTTTAATAAACAATGTGAATACTGTGTGAGAACTATCTTTGCTTCATTGTTTTCTGGATGTGATCTACTCTACTTGCCTTTGTGACTCTGGTTGTGGGGATTCTGTGGAGCGAATTGCACTTTCAGTGTATTCTGTCATATCGCATGGTCAAGTCTTCCGCTGTGTTT